AAGAAAAAAAAAACAAAAAAAAACTGACATTTGGTCATTCCACCAGCTGCTGAAGTTGGATATTATTAGTGCTGCCACTTGTACCAAAAAAAATAAAATTAAAAATAATATCCATGTCAGCAACCGGTCACAGGGACAGGCTTTTGCCGGTGGAAGGACCAAAGTCAATTTTTTTTTTTTTCGGTTACACAGTGTTTTGTAAAGTCTAACGCGATCACCAGACTATTTCTCAATTAGGCGTCACTTGACTAAATATCCATTTTTCCTACATAAATATATATATATACACACACATACAAAATCCGTAACATATTCAAAAACTCTTCGACTCGTTTTTCCAGGGCGCCTCCACACTGTACGGGCCCCACACTCTGAGCGGCTACATTCAGGAGTTTGAGAAGCTCGCATCAGCGCTCGTCAGCGGGAAGCCAGTCGAGCGGGGCCCACAACCCCCCGATCTCTTGGACAAGCAGATCAGCCTTCTGACACCTGTCGTGGTGGACGCGACGCCGCCTGGCGTGAAATTCGGTGACGTCAGCTCAGACGTGCCCGAAAATTCCACCTTCACGAGAGGTAATGATAATGTAACTGTCATTTTCTGGTCAGCCTGCCCGAGGAACGATCTCTTGACCGAAGGCACGTTTGCATTGGTGGAGATGCTTAAAGAGAAGGACACTTGGCTGCCCGTTTATGATGACGATGATTTTTGCCTTCGGTTTAAATGGTCGAGACCTTCGAAACTTAGTCCACAGAGCCATGCAGCCATCGAGTGGTTAATACCAAAAGAAGCTGAGCCGGGTGTTTACAGAATTACGCATTTCGGCGCTGCTAAGAGTATTCTGGGTTCGATCGAGCGTTTTAAAGGCTCGTCCAGTGCTTTTGTGGTGGCATGACTGAGTTTTTTGGGCTTACGCCTAAAGTTCACATCGTTTTTTTGTACCCAACGTTTTGTTCGTAATCATGATAAGTTAAGTTTTGCCTGAAATGTTGAAAACTCACGGTGGAAGTTTTGAAGAAAATCTTAGCTTTACCTGATATTATATACAAAACCTGAAACTATAAATTGATTTGAAGGGTTTGATATCCTGTGAAGTATGATCAAGTGATGAACACATTGAAGTTGACTCTTGAATTTGGACAAGCAGACTATCATAAAAATGTGCAAGAGTTGAGGGAGCTGTTTGAAAATATAACCATTAACTTTAAAAGGTACGTCTTAAAAAAAACTGTGCACCGAGCTTCGTAGTTTATGGGTTGATTGACAAAAACACATAAATTATATTTTGATATTTCAATGAAAATATTTTTTACCATAAAATTATAAAAAAGTTAAGTTGTGGAAA